GTAGTAGTCGTAGAAGTAGTGGTAGTGGTAGTGGTAGTGAGGTAGTGGTAGTGGTAGCAGCAGCCGCCTGCATTGAAAGACTCCAGTCATGTAAACACATCGACGCAGAAGACCTTACCCGAGCAAGGCCTCGAACCTGCGACTCACAGTTCTCAATGTTCGAGTCTGCATGAATAGTTAGTAATACTAGTCCTTAAGGGTTCCGTATGGTATAATCTCGGGGGCACTAGAAAGAGCACCGTGCATCGGTGTCACTGCCTGCTGCATCTGTCCGAGCACTCCGAAGTAGATTATCGTGGCGACCGTTCGTCATGTATCGTGCGCCCAAACTCTAAGCTCAAGCCTTACGGCCCCACACCCTAAACCCTAAACCCTAAGCCCCAAACCCTAAACCCTAAACCCTAAATCCCTAAACCCTAAAGCCTCGCCTGCATTGTCCGAGTGAGAGCCGAAACCCTGAGTTCTAACCTTCGATCAATCCGGCCCTAAACTAAACTCCAAACCCTAAGCCCTAAACTCTAAACCCAAGCCGTCACAAATCCCTATAAAAACCCGCACTATAACAAAGCTAACCCTTTTGCAAGGAGTCGCGCCAAGCCATCCTGGACTGTGGCTTCTTCCTGTCTTCAGGGCTTTTTGCGGGGGATTAGGGTTTAGGGGTGTTTGGGGTTCAGTTTCGGTATGCTTAGGGTTTGGGGTTTAGTTTCGGGATGCTTGGCTTCTGAGTTTCGGTTTGTTCCCCAACTTGGCCCGACACCTTAGTAAACCCAATAGATAACTGGTTACCAGCACTCCACCCTGCACTTGGTCTTATTAAACCTAAAGATTTAGGGTCCAGGGTTCAGCTTAAGGCTCAGGCTCCAGGGTTTAGGGTTCAGGGTTTAGGGTTTAGGGTTCCAGGGTTTAGGGTTTAGGTCGCCCCGATGCGAGGGGCACGCGCAAAGATGGTCAGATGTGGCTCTGTTGCTTGTGGGTGTAAGGTTGAGGGTTTAGCTGTGATAGTTTATCGACGTAGGACGGTAATTCGGTCATGTTGGTCACGATTCCAAGAGTACTGAGCCCAATTATCCTTAGCGCCCTAACTCCTTTTCGATTCGATACCTCATGTCACCCTTCTAGATCCCATGTAGAACCCGTCGAGAACCTGTAAGTTGTATAGAACCCGTACAGATTCCGTGCAGAACCCCCAAAAGAGCCCATCGAGATCTCTGGTAGAACCGCTGTAAGAGCCCTAAAGGATCCCTCTGCGGAACCCTGATGGATTCTGTGTAGACCCTAAGCCCTAAAGTGCAGTGGGAGGGAAAAAAGGTTCAGGGTGTAGGGTGTAGGGTTTAGGGTTTAGTGTGAGGGCCGAGGCCCTTCTAAAGCAGGCGAGAAAAGGCTCCTTATAGAACCCTTTGAGGGAACTGATGAATAACAAAGTTGAACAAGATAATATAAAATGTTTAAAAAATGCAATTTATGGATTTTCATCCTTCGAGGATTTGTCTCGGCAGGGGTCTGGAATTCCTTGAGGATCCTGGGCTCGTTTGGCTTGGCGTCTTCTGTTCCAAAGTATTCTGGAGTCGTGGTAGGGTGCAGAGGGCTAAAGTAGCTCAATTTGCGGGCTTTGGGGAGGGGTTTAGAGCTTAGGGTGTTAAAGTTTAGGGCGTCAGGGCTTGGGATTTTAGGGTTAAGGGTGGGCGGGGGGCTATGCTGTGGTGGAGGCTTTCTGATGCTGGCCTCCATCGTGAGCATGCGCCGGCAAGATCAGACATGACCCATAAAGCCCTAACAACAGCTGCAACAGCTCCAGCAGCAGCAGCAGCAGCGGCGGCAGCGGAAGCAGCGGCAGCAGCAGCAGCAGCAGCAGCAGCAGCAGCAGCAGCAGCGGCAGCGGCAGCGGCAGCGGCAACAACAACAGCAACAGCGGCATCGCTGCTGCTACTACTGCTCCTACAGCTAGGACTACTGCTGAACTACTGAAACCTTCAGCCGGTTTTTGCGCGAGAGTCCAGGACCGAATGCTGCAAATGGCCGGAGAGGCCTTACGCACTTCGACTGCAAGACCTTCTTGAGGTTTCCATGAGGGTCCTTTTAGGCAATCCTCCCTGCAGTAGAGGAGAGGGTTATAGTCGGACGAACCGCGGATTACGGCTCAGCCCCACGTGCGGATGCATGTCTTACTGACATACGGGAGTCATAGACACTCCCAATTCCCAAGGGGTGCCGACAAGTTTTGGAGCAGGAGGGTCCTAGGCATGGAGCGGTCGCGGATAGATGGCATCAACATCGTTTAGGGTTTACCCTAAACCCTAAACCCTAAACCCTAAACCCCCTAAACCCTAAACCCTAAACCGTGGGGTTTAGGGTTTAGCACAGCATTCTCAAGCCCATGCAGCCCTGGAGCTGAACATATCTTGAAAAGAAGCCGTAAGTTACATGTCGGAAGATCAGCCTCTGTCTGCTCGGAAATGCATAATGTAGGGGCCTAAATAAGTTACCTATACTTTTTTAAAGGGCTCCTTATGATAATTACAGTGTACTTGGTCCCCAAGACCCTATTCTAATTATTTTCAAGGCCCCTAAACCCTAAACCCTCAGAGTAGCCCTTATGGAACCCTTTAAGGAACAGTTTAAAGGAACCCTTAAAGAAATCCTATTCTAATTATTAAAGGCCCCTACATTAAATCCCTAAACCCCAAACCCTAAACCAAAAAAACCAAAAAAAAACCTAAACCCTAAACCCTATTCTAATGACGATTAAGGCCCCTACATTAAACTCTTATAGAATCCTTATAAAACCCTTATCGTAACCCTTGAAAGGAGCCCTATTCTATTTATTAAAGGCGCCTAAACCTAAAGTGCACTGCTTCTTTCATTCGGCTCCTAGGAACCCTAAACCCTAAACCCCTAGGTTGTGAGTGCTGAAACCCTAAACCCTAAACCCTATTCTAATGACTATGAAGGCCCCTACACCAAAGTACACTGCTTCTTTCATTCGGCTCCTAGGAACTCTAAACCCTAAACCCTAAACCCTAAACCCTAGACCCTAAACCCGAAACCCTAGACCCTAAACTCCTAGGAACCCTGGCCTTGGCGGTGAAGTTCGACCTCAAGGAGCCCTGGTGGGTTTCCTGTAGGGGGCCTTCAGAGCTAGAATAGGGTTTAGGGTTTAAGGTTTAGGGTTTAGGGTTTAGGGTTTAGGGTTTAAGGCTTAGGGTTTAGGGTTTAGGGTTTTTGGTTTAGGGTTTAGGGATAGGGTTTAGGGATTTAATGTAGGGGCCTTCATAGTTAGAAAAGGGGATTTGGGGGGCTGCCTTTTAAGGATTCTACAAGGGCCACTATAAGGGTTTAGGGTGTAGGGGCTTTAATAGTT